CTCGGAGTCCTTCTCGTCTTGTATTATCTTGGTGCATCGCGCGACCTGGAGGGGTTGCTCTTCTTGCATTCGTTGGCGGTCGGCGGCGATATCCCAGAGATGTGGAGGTGCGAGACCGGTATCTGATTCCTGGAGGCGTTAGTCGAGCCGGAGGGAGGGTGAAGGAGTCTGTACTTTGACGCCAATCTTCTCGTTTATCGTCTGCTGCTTGTCCTTGATCTCCTTCTCGAGCTTCTTGAGTTCGGCGCCATAGGGTGCCGCGCCGTATGTCTTCAACACCTGGATGTCCCTGTGATGCCATTAGCCCATGCCTGCTTTGAACGGGACATGGCGTCTCCTACTCATCGGTCAGAGGTGTGATCTTCTTCTCCTCGACCTCGTCGTCGGCGAAGTTCTTCTGGTACTTCTCCCAGGACTGGCCTGTGGCTGAAGGCATGCTTGCGGAGTGGGCGGCGACTGTCGTGTGGCCGAGATGGGGTTCGGGCTATGCGTACAGTCGGGTTGTGGATGATTCCGGGTAGGAGCGACAGTGGGAGCAGATGCGGCGGCGCGGCGAGTGTATGGGGTTGGTTGTTGTGTTCTGGGTGAAGGTGTAGCTGTGATGCGGCAATGGCCCGGCGAGTCGGAGCTTGGGGATTGGCCGTGCGCTACGTCTATCGCGTTCTCGAAATATTGTCAGTTCGCGTCCAGGCACCACAACTTCCCCGCCAAACTCCCACGATACCCCTCTTTTAGCTTTGTTCCTCTGTATACTGAAAGATGGCTGCTCAAGTTGCAAATGGCGGTACCGGTGGCGGTAACACTGCCTTCAAGGTGCGCTTCGTCACTAAGCTCTGAAAACATTGACTGACATTGGCCCAGGACAAGGAGAAGCCCAGAGCTGTTCGCAGCGCCAACATCATTGCCGCAAGAGGTACAGAACCTACTCCTTCTCTTTTAGGAGCATCTCGCTAACTCAAATTGTGCAGCTGTGGCAGATGCGATCCGAACTGTATGTCCCACCACGAGGTGCGGGGAAGAGATGAATACTAACTTTCTGGCAGTCTTTGGGACCAAAGGGCATGGACAAGATGGTATGAGACAGGCGCAAATCGCTAGCCATCACAACTGACTTGTCCAGATTCAAACCAGCAAAGGCCAGACCATCATCACGAACGACGGAGCCACCATGTTGAACCAGATGAGCGTTATGCACCCCTCCGCGAAGATGCTCGTCGACCTCGCACACGCCCAAGACATCGAAGCTGGAGATGGCACAACGTCGGTCGTAGTCATTGCTGGAAGTCTGTTGGGCGCTGCTGAGAGGTTATTGGGCAAGGGCATCCACCCCACAGTCATATCAGAGGCTTTCCAACGGGCAGCGCAGGAGGCGATATCGATATTGACCGAGATGGCCATCCCTATCTCGCTCACCGATAGGCAAACGCTCCTCAAGACCGCCACGACCGCACTCTCTTCCAAGATTGTTGCCCAGGAGCCCAAGCTTCCCATCATGGCTGTGGACTCAGTCCTCAAGGTCATTGACCCCAAGACCGCGGACAACGTAGACTTGAAGAACATCCGGATGATCAAGAAGTCAGGCGGTACCATCGAAGACAGCGAGATGATTGACGGACTGGTTCTCAACCAGCCTGTAGTCAAGAGCGCCGGTGGTCCCACATTGAAGGAGAAGGCACGGATAGGTCTCATCCAGTTCCAGTTGAGCCCACCGAAACCGGACATGGAGAACCAGATTGTCGTCAACGACTACAGGCAAATGGACAAGATCCTCAAGGAGGAGCGAACATATCTGCTGAACATGGTCAAGAAGATCCAGAAAGCCAAGTGCAACGTTCTCTTCATCCAAAAGTCTATCCTCCGAGATGCGGTCAACGACCTGAGTCTGCACTTCTTGTCTAAGCTGAAGATCCTTGTCATCAAGGACATTGAGCGTGACGAGATTGAGTTCATTTGCAAGGTGCGTAAGAGAAGTGATTCACATGTAACGAAGCTAATGCACAGTAGAGCACTGGCTGCAAGCCTATTGCCGATATCGATTCATTCACAGAAGACAAGCTCGGTTCGGCAGACCTTGTCGAGGAGGTACAGGCATCGGGCGCACGATACGTCAAGGTTTCGGGTGTCAAGTCAGCAGCCAACACTGTCTCCATTGTCTGCCGAGGTGCTAACAACCTCATTCTGGATGAGACCGAGCGATCTCTACACGACGCTCACTGCGCCATCCGCTCGTTGGTCAAGAAGAAGGCGCTACTTGCTGGTGGCGGTGCCCCGGAGATTGAGATTGCGCATCAGCTGTCACTCAAGGCTCGTGAGCTCTCCGGCACTGAATCCATTTGCTGGAAAGCTTTCGCCGATGCCATGGAGGTCATTCCGACAACATTGGCGGAAAACGCCGGTCTGAACAGCATCAAGGTCGTCACAGAGCTAAGGCATAGGCACGCACAGGAGCAGAAGAATGCTGGTATCAGCATTAAGAGCGGGGGTGTCAAGAACGACATCAGCGAGGAGAACGTACTGCAGCCACTGCTGGTCAGCACCAGCGCTATCGAGCTTGCAGCCGAGACCGTCAAGATGATTCTGCGAATCGACGACATCGCCTTGTCGAGGTAAAGAACCACAAATGGATTGACTTGGCAGCGAAAGACGCAGGATACTACGAGTAATGAAAAATTCGAACAAACTGTTGATGCCAAATAAGTGTTTGGAATGTCATGACATTGCATGTGAAGGTTACGCGTATATTGCGTTCAATGCATGAACGGTGCAATTAAAACCTGCACGTGGGGGAGCATGGGACTGCAGTAGCGGGACACGTCGTTCTCTGCAGACTGTCGAGAAAGGATAAGCCGTGGATCACTTTTCTTCTTCCAGATGCCGAATTCGGACCACTTTGATCCTGGGGTATGCACCTGAAATGAGCAATGTTTTCGACTTGACTCGTTTGGAAAATGGAGAAATGCGAATGCGACTATCCGCGCGCGTGACGAAGCAATTGCTTTTCGGGCTGATCTTTCGCCCGCATAGGTTATCCGGCCGTCAGCATGTAGACGCAGTGTTTCCGTGCCGTGTTCATGAGTAGTGTATGTGTGTGATGCCTCACCACGATAACGCGAGCACCCTGGCCTAACGACTTTGTCGTGCACCTAACTTTGCAGAATATCACAACATGAAAAAAACCGTTTCAATGCAAGCAGTCGATCGTTCTTGTAACCTTTGCTGCAGCCGCTTATCATCCGGCCAAGATGTGAGTCCTGACCTCGGGAACGCCGACGGACAGCGTATCTGCAGCAACATCACTTTTTTAGCTGCGGCCACGGAACTCATACACAGGTATGCTGACTAGCAAGACGTCCATCATCAGCACCTTCAATAAATCTTAAATACGACTCCGGCTACACTACGCGCGTGTAATAAACAAAGGCGCGAAAAAAAGTAAAGAACCCCGGAAAACACCACCTCCCAGCCGCCGTATGCAATCTAACGGCATTCCTCTCACTTTCGCATCACAGGACAATGACATGCATATGCCGTACCTTTTTCCCTAACTTTCTTTTCCCGTCGATCAGCCAACGCCACAACAACGACCTGCAGTGCCACACTCGCAAAATCCAGCGTACAATGTAAACAACATCGTCACCTCACGCAAATGCGTCACCGACCCAAGAAAACCACTCAATCGATCCAGACCCCCGCCACACACATGACCCGATTGACTGTACGCGCGCGCTATCCGCTGCGAACGCAAGATCGAGCCCTGTGAGAGTGAAGAAAAATCTAGCGCAAGCTGAAACGTAGCGTACCGTGAAGATTGGAGCAGTTCGGTTCGGCATCTAGTGGGTTAGTGTACCAGGAACCGCGTAAAGGTAAGTCAGACTTGTTCGGCAAGGGAACCCATTAGGGATCTAGAGCCGGGTGGGCAGGTGGAGCTTCACCGGAAAGCGGTGGTGGAGTTGGGGGAGCTGGTGGAGGATAAGAGTGAGTGGGTGTTTCATGTTCTAGTGGCTGATGGGATGTTCGCTGTATCTTTTGCGGAAAGTGTAGTGGGCACGTCATTGTTGACTGCAAGTGGAGGGTTGGGGGAGTAAAGAGGGAAGATGGAGATGATGGTTGGTGGAATATGTTGTGTGATGTGTTGATGCGTTGGATCGACCAATGCTTTCACGTATACTCAACTTCAACCTAGCTACCCAATAACTCTCTTTCTCATGCATCTTACCTCGCCACCGAAACACATCCTCCCAGCACCACGAAACGCATACAACGCCTAGTATCAACTACTGCATGCAAACTGTACGAGTACTGTAATGTTGATCTTTGCCTAGCCACTGGATGAAAACGGCAACGTCATACAGCCATCCCTGCCATTAACGTCTATGCGATATAGATCTCTCCGCTGCGGATAATATGGTTAGTGTGGTTCTTTGGCGAAACATGTGGAGAGATAAGACGGGTAGTGTGAACGGGTAGGTAAAGCTCCGGTAGAGAGTACGAGGACCTAGTCATGATCGCTGGGGGCGATCACTCCTTCGGCAAAAGTCAGGTGCTGTGAGTTGAGACGCTGGACTGTATCGGCAATTGCGATGAGTAACCGTTGTTGCCTGATGTAATAGGAAATACGCGGAAACAATGCTATCGACAAGGATGAGGCAAAGTGGTGGTATCAAAGCGACAGACCAGTTTTGGTTGCTGCCGACTGGGTATCATTCTCGATGAAGTTCTTGGCTAGCTAAGTATGAAGAAATACCAGCAGGGTAGCTGGACATGGGAGATGAAAGGAAAACGCCTCATTCATGCATCTGAATCGTTCGGTTCGTGCATCGTGATAATCGTACAGTCTGATGAGCTTTCGTAAACCCCCGTAAATGTCTAAAAAATGGTTGGACAAGGAAATAAAAGTCGCTCGCTGAAACGCAGCAGACCTGTTGTTGGTCTTTGTTAGGAAAGACAGGCAAAAAGTACAATGTGAGAAGTGAATTAATAGATGCAGGCTGAAATGGGGATCAGCGACTGGTGGCCTTGAGGCTGGCACGCTTCAGTAGGCGGCTCACGAGGTTTCCGCGCGGTTTAGGCTTAACGTAGAAGGCGCCCTTGGTACCGGTCATGTCGTCGGTGAAGACAAGGTCTTCCAGTGCCAGAGGATCGTCTTTCGAGGTTTTGGGACTTGAGCTCGAGCCTGAGCCTTGCCAGCCATACAGTTGATCTTCGTCAGCTCGTAAATCGGGCCGGGTCAAGGTCATACGGAGCGTCATCTCGCGATTAAAATGGCCATTGGCGGAGTGGACAGGCGACGGAGCCGGCGAATCGACCGAGAACTTGCGGTGCGAGATTTGTCGGGAGTGCATGCGGAAAGACAGGCCGGTGCTAGAGGGCGTGGCAGGTGAGTCCATGTCGGCTACAGAGCCGGCATCAGATTCCAGTCCCTGGTTCTCCTTTGGATGGTCTTCGAAGAACGACAGCTGTCCATCCCTAAGGAAGGTGTGCATGTCTCGGCTGAACTTGCGAGCATGATTGTCGATCTGTGGCAGCTGGAAGTGGGGTGTGGCGGCGTCGCTTCCAGCGGACGATGGGAAGCCGAATTCAATCGCTTCGTCGAACTTTTGAGGAGAGGCAAGATACATGCGCAGCTTTTTCCTCGCCTCGGGATCCTGGTAGTGTGTCGCTTCGGGGTCGATCATGAGAGTTGGCGGCGTAGACGGCGATATGTGGCCTGTGAGAGAAGAAGAGTGGGCACGCTGGTGGAGTCGATTCGGCCTGGTATTGAAGAGTGGAGGATCCGCCATGTATGAAGATCCAAGGCGGACAGGGTGCGATGTGAGGGACATGGTTCGTCTCATGTCTGCCGTTGAGGTTTCCCTCCGATGGAAGATGGGCGTGGCCATTGTGTCGAGATATAGTAAATGGGTGTTTCGGTCCTTGTCCGTGTTTGATGTACAAGAAGGCCCGAAAGTAGGGCGGGAAGGGCTGACGGTTGAAGAGGCCGAAGATGAACGACGTCGTGAACGGCCGCGTTCCGGAAGGTCGAGCGTGGAGTGGGAGAAGTCGAAGTGAAAATCGTTGAAGCGTTGTTGTGCCCACTCGGGATCCTGGTCGTCGGGAAGGAACGCCTGTTCGTGCCTGCCTTGGAGGAGGGCCTGCTCTTCGCGGGAAAAATGCTGCTTGCGTACCTTTTCAGGCAAGGAGAGAAAGAAGTCAAGGTCAATGTGGGAGATGTCGTGAGCGTGCACAGCCTTTTCGGATTTGCGTCTGCGTCGTCCGGTGCCGAGAGATAGCGAGGGCCGGTGGGATTTGGAAGCGGTGCTGGCCTGGGACGAGCGGCCTGATGTAGTAGGCTCGTCGGAGGCGTGCTGGGCGATCTGCAAACGCTCCAGGGATGAAAAGTACTTTCTCCTGTAGCGGGACGAATTAGCATTGGCATCATGGCATAATTGACAGGCCCTTCATCTACTGCAAGGTACACAAAAAGTCATGGTGGGGGATTCGGTATATGCACGCGCATAACGCGCCCTTATCACACGTGCCGACCACTCAGGAGCGCGGAATATTACTTACTGGACTGAATACGGCAGGGCGTCGAATTCGGCCTGCCGCAGAGGCAGAATAGTCCCTTTGGCTTTGCTCTTCATGGCTTCGGCTCGGATCTCGACGTCGGCGATGGCGCAACGTTTGGCTTCAGGCACATGGGGGCGTGGTTTGCGCGGACGACGCTGCGAATGGCGGCCCTGACGCCGTGGCCGGGCGGTGCGGCGGGCACTTGGTCGTGAACGTTTGGTTGAGCAATGCTGGTGTACTTTGTTCTCGAGGATCGACCGGAGGGCTATCCGAACAGCAGCAAGCGAAAGTCCGAAGAAGAAGGAATTATATGAGGTCCAACAGGACGGCCGCTGGGGGATAGAAACAATCAGTGGGCTCAGCAGCGTACGACTGTCGCTCGCACTTGGGGCGGCTGCATATTCGTGTCGCGGGATGCTGCAGCTGCAGGCTAACGCGCCGCCAGCGACGCACTCTCTGCTCTCCACCTCACACCTGGGCCCTAGTAGAACCGTGGCTGATGTATCCGAGAGCACGCCAGGCCCGCGTGCGGTCGTTGGTTGAGTCAGGTCGTGCAGACAGGCCTCCCCCCCGCTTTGTCTCCACCTTGCCGTCCGCTGTTTCAGGCCCGTGGCCGCCAGGAACACACCGTCAGCGGAGCCACGATGCTTAGCGTGCGACACACCGCTGGCCAACGTGCCCGGCTCGCGGAGTCGACAGATGCTCTCCATCACATTTGCCTGATTAAGCCTCCGCATCAAATATACTTGCTTCTGGAATATGCGTTATGGCGTTACTACCAGGCCGCCCGACTGGCCGGCTCAATGGCTGCGCCAGCGTGTCACGGGTTAATATCGCACAGATCACCGTCGATTGCCAGACGCCTTGTACAACGTCGAGCATGCGCTGCGTAACGACGACAGGCTGACAACACGCACGCACGCTCCAAACAATCTGTCTAATTGCAGCGTATTGCACAGGTACAAGCAAGGGTATCTCAAGAGAAGCGCATCCAGCTCCCGCGCCAACACAAATGTTACCGCCCCCTGCACAGTTCCTAATATGGTTCCCAGAGAGCGGTACCTGGTTCCCAATTTGAACGTCGACAGACGTCTATTCACAAGACGGCGAACGTCTTCCACCCCGCCGTTGCCTAGTTCCGCATCGAGAAAGATTAGGCTTTCGGAAGCGTAGGCTTAGGCTTCCCAACATCATGCAGCTTGGACGTTGGCGGCCCCATTAATTTCACTATTACCTGCACAAGATCGATGTTTGTTGTCCAGGACTCCTGTCCGTGAACAAGCATTTTCTAGATCTTCAGGCACCCGCAATGTCATCTGCATCAAGGTATCAAGTCAGTACTGAGCCCGTGCCACGGTGTAAAGGAGAAGCACGTACAGTAGTATTCGTCATCCAGTCCTTCACGACTGGGGAGCACTGGTTCCTCCAGCCCGACATCTTCGTAGCGAACGTTGAGCAGACGGATCTTGAGCCCGTAACCGCCGATGAAGGTTACCAACTTATTGGTGTCAGCGGTAATTGGCTGTTGGTTCAGTAGCATCAGCAGTCCATCAAGCCACTCGGAAGCAAGGGTATGGCTCTGGGGATGCAGATGCAGTAGGACGGATTCTTTTCGCCCTGCACCTGAGCCGCTGGACGCCTGCCGCGCGTGATTGGACGGGGGCAGGTAACCGTGGATCGTGATCTTGGTCGACGTCGAAGCCCGCTCGTGGCCTGGCAGGGTTGTGACCGTACTGTCTGACGATGCGGTCGATGGCGCCGAAGCCGAGACATTGCTCACCACCGAAGAGACAATGGATAGATCGACTGTACATACAAGTCAGCCACTGCGGTAACGCAAACCATAAACGACGCGTGGACGCGTTACACTTACTCTTCTCCTGCAGCGTGTCTAGCCTCGGCTCAGTCGCCGTCTTCTCGTCAAAGTCAGCGTAATGCAAATATCGCCGGTTGTGCGACAATCGGACAAAACGCCATGATGAGGGCACAGAACGATTCAGGGTCTTGCTGGTTACCGGACCCGCACTCGTGCCGTAGTCGATACCCATTGGAAACCACGCGCCTTGTAGCAGGCATCTTATACGCTGCTCCTTTACAAACTGCAGAGCCTCGTGGTTGAGCTCGTCACGGACCTGACTGTAGAGAGTTAGCTGAGCACAGACTACATCGACGCAAACTGCATACCGGAGATGATGGCCCCATGCATCCTCGTAGGTCAGCTCCAGTACTTCCATTTGGAGTTCTCTCAGGCGTTTCAGCTCGAATTCAGCCAGATCTTCCTCCACGTCCTTGACATCCCTCATACGTGGCGCCTGGCCCACGACCTGCTCGATCAAGATGCGGACAAGCTCTTCGATCTTCTCAAAGTCCTCGGTTTGTGCGCCGGCTACCTTCCATAGTCGGATGAAGGCACTCAGTCCACTCGTATGTAACCTGGACCAGTGGAGCAGGAGGGGCTTGAATGAGCGGTCGAAGTTGGCCCGCGAGTCGGTAGGCCGGTGGGAGTCCACGTCGTCGAGCTTATCTATTTCAAAATGTTCGTATAGGGTCTGGGTGACCGACAGACTTGCGCGAGCGATTGGGCATCGCTGCTCGAGTGGCTCTGCCGACTGCTCCAGCAAGAGCTTCTGAAACCCATCTTCGTTCTTGTAGACAAAGTCGGTAATATCCATGAGGCCTAGGAAGCCAGTCGCATCAAACTCCCACGCAGGTGATTCCGTCTCGAAGCCCAGGCGCTTCCATTTATCCGGGTTGTGCTTCTTGCTTCCTTTGGGGTCTGATGCTGACTTCTCTGGATTACTCGCCGTGTGTAGCCCGCGGATCGCCCTCCTGTGGTCGGGGTTCTCCAGGTCGACCTTCTCTTCCCTCCAATTCCTGAGCAGTATCTTGGTCAAGGACTGGAAGTCGAGTAGTGGATGTGCCAGATCTTGTATCGCAGAGCTCTGCATAAGCCCGTATACGCTCTTGATCACGCCCAGCTCCTGTAGCTGCTTGATGAACTTGGGCCATTCGAAAGCTGCGTCGTTTGCGATGGCGTCTCGCATGAGCGCGTTGATAAGCTGCAGGGAGTTTGCACATAGCGCGTGGTCGGCCGAGGTGATCTTTTCAACGAGGGAGGGTAGGAAGTCGGGCTGAGAGTCGACGGCGGGCTTCAGGCGCTGGAAGCCCGTGGTCCCGTCCTGGGAGTTTCGGTGTGAGGGGTGGCCGACAATGGCAGCGAGGACCGACATGGCACCGCGGTTGACGTTGACGAGAGGTTGCGCGACAACGAGGTCGACGATCTGGAGTATAGTTGTTAGACCTCTTCAGGCAATCCCTCGTTCCAAGGTCGTCGTCGACTTACCCTCGCGACCAGATCGTCCGTGACATGGTCCCATCCCTTGTCCAACTCCAGCAGGCGTGCGAGAGAGGTCAGACAGTAGGCCAGGGTGTTGCCGGTCGAGTGCAGCGCCAGGAAGCGCAGCTTGGGCAGGCCGCCTTCGTATATGAAGACGTCGGCGAAGGAGGGGTCGCCAATGGCATTCTGCAGCTTAAAGACCGCCATCTTCCGCACCGACTCCTCCTCCGCGCCGAGGCGCGCAACCAGTTCCGACACATTGACGCTATCCATGGCTCAAGCTTCTTCGCAGGGTGGGAGGATGTGGGGTAGGTAAGAATAATGTGGAGATGGTTCGTTCGCCCCAAGTCACGCAGGAAGGGCAGACATGGCACACGCGCCAGAGACCGAGGCGGCGGAGTGGGCGGGCGGGATGCTCGTCGCTGCTGTCGACGATGTTTCACCCTGTCCTGCGCCATCGCGCGTTAGCTGAGTCGCGCGACCCTTTGCTTGGCGACACGCTTCACGTGCGCCGGCCCACATGCTGTTGGCTGCCTGGGCCGGCTAGTCAGGTACGTCGCCGAGCCGACAACATCCAAAGCGCCGTCCGGTCCGTCCTGAGCACCATCGCGACTAAACATCAGCGCTCCTTTCGGCCCATTCGCGTCCTCGATACCCTTTGTCCTGTTTTGCAAGCCGCTTTCTGTTCTGTGTTGACGCCGCCGCTGCACGTTCCAGCTCCTTCCGCCTTTGAGGCCGACAACAGCTTCTCCGCTTCACCCTCACCATCACCGCGAAGTCGCCGCCACTATGGTCTACATCACCTCTGACTTGTTCGGTCCCAATACACCGCACGAGCGCCAATACGACACCACCACCAGCTACTGGCATACCATGGGCCACGATCAACACGCCGCCGGCCTGGGCAAGAGAAAGAGAATGGCTGGCGACGACGGACCCCAACCGTATGCACCAATACTCCACCCAAAATAGAGCTCCAATTCTAACAACTCTGCAGCGTATCACGTCAACACCGCTCATCACCCAGTCGCGACTCCAACCGCCTCCATCTCCACAATACCCCGCCTTTCGAGAGCAACAACAACAACCTGCCATACGCCCTCTTCCCCTCAAAGCCACACGAATACACATCAGAACGCCGGCCGGTCAAGCAACTCAAACGCCTCAGTCCGAAAGCGTCACTCGTCAAGTCAACATCACACCTAATGGACGTCGACTTGGACGCCCCATCACCCTGCCAAACCCAACCACACGCCGTTTCCGACCTGCGATCCTGTCACGCCTGCAACAAAGCGCCCAAGCGACGGAAAGACCTGGAAAACTACCTCGATTGCACGAGATGCGAAGGCCGGACCTGTTTCATCTGTGCGAGGCAATGTGTAGGCTGCAGCAAGGCGACGTGCAAGAAGTGCATAGTAGAAGTCGGAGAAGAGGGGGACGCATGGTGTCTCGACTGTTATTCACGGAACCTCAACTCGTGAGCACTAGAAGAGAAGGTAGTTTGGTTGTTTTGGTTCATTCTAGCAGAGCGGGCGTCCTTGTGTTACTAGCAGCTGCATCGAGCGAGACTCTATCGAGCATCATAATGAAGAGAAGATTTCATCATAAACGAGACCATGTGTCATTTCGTAATTCTTGTCCCATTGTTAAACATACACATTATCCAACAACCCAGTGACGTCTAATCTTCATCATCTGTATCCCTCTCCTCCACAACACTCTCCTGGTCACCCGTACGGAACCTCAAACGCGAACTTGTCATATCACCATCCTCGGCCTGACTAGTCCTAGTGCTCCGTCTCCTGCTCCTGCTGCTGGCAATACCGGGGAACAGTCTAGGCTCCCCATCCAATGTAATAGTGCTTGTTGAGCGCGTCAGTCCCTGATCCGGCTCTTCAGGCTCTGTCGGCTGAGCGACAGAAATCGTGCTAGGGTTGACAGTCATGCTAGAGCTGGCACCGTCCTTCGTACCTGAAGGTGAAGCTGGTTGGCCTTGCATACTACCCATGTCGGTTGTCGAGGCAGAGGGCTTGAGGCGAGCGACTTGGGCTGGAGGTAGCTTAGAAAATACCTGGTTTCCACCCGCGGATGCGTGTGTGGGAGACGTGGGATGTGTTCCCTGCAGTGACTTTGGCGTCTGTGGCACTTCCGACTGCAGGTTAGAGCTGGTGAGATCGTGACTACCAGCTTGCGCGGCGCGCGTGTAGCGGTCGATCCTATACAGTGTTAGTACTTCCATACGAAGATGTGAAAGTCTGTTCGAAACTTACATAGCTAATTCGCCCATGAGCGTCTCGTGGCGGAACGCCTCACGAATACTGGGCACATTGGATCTCGCCATGTCGTTGCCTGCAACGCCAGGGAGATGGTAGTTGCTACCCAACCACTTCTGCTTGACGACGTGCTCAAAACCGCTCTGCTCGACAGAATGTTTGGCTAGCTCACACATATCCACAGCACTCAGTTTGTAGATCTGCGCTGCGACTGAGTATTCCTCGATAAGGGGCTCCTTTGTGAAGGCAAATTGTAGAGGGTCGTCTGTCGATAGCGAGACGTTGAGGCCACGTCTAAAGTAGCTCAGGAACGGGTTACGTTCGTACGCCAGGAATAGTGCGTTGTTGCTGAGAGGCGACATAGCGACACCAATCTGTTCAAGGTAGAAGATGTACTGCAGAAGAGGCACCTTACGGAGCAAAAGACCGTGACTGATGCTGTGACAGCATAGTACAGCGGCAGCCAAATGATCGGTGTCACCAGCCTCTCCGCAGTGAGGACGTAGGAGGAAGGTGTTGAAGCCGCGCTGCTTTCTCCATACGTTAAGTGATGAGATATTGGCGAAAAGGTAGTACATCCAGTAACTGTACGGCGGATTCTGTTTCGTAGCCCATTCATTCGGGAATGGGAACTTCCTGTACACGCGTCGCTCGACTTTACTTTCATCGTCGACGCTATCGAATCCAATAACCCTCTGCAGGAAAACGTGGAGCTTAGGATGGCTGGACGGATCTTTGGTGACCTCGAACAAAGGCTGAAATACGTTTACAATGACTTGCTGGAAGTTGTCCATGAGTCCGGTTGCTTTGTACACATCGAACAGACGAGGTACTTGGATCAACCAGCGGACGTTGGGCGAGAACAGCTTGTTGTCAATGACCCAAGCTGCCAGCTTATCCCACTCTTCAATGTCTCTACCGTAGATGGAGATGCGCCATTCAACGAACTGGTACTTGCTCGCTTCAAGGTCAGAGATGACTTCCTTGGTAATTTCTGCTAGATATCGGCCCTTGACAAAGTTGTCTGTCTTCAGAAAGATGGTTCGTAGGCGTGATTCACCGATCGGGTTATACTTCAGGTTGAACTTGTCGAATCGGTGGAACGAATCCGTGTGAGCCTAAAATGTTAGCGAAGTATCGTGGTGCCAGATGTCTGTACTCACATGCATATCTAAGGTATCAATACTTAGATCGTATGCTGTCAAATTAATCGACTCGAAGACCTCCCTTAGCGTAAGATGTTTGCCATCACGGAACAGGACCACTTCGTCTGGAGACTTCTTCATCTTGGACTTGATGAAGCGCAGCAAATGCTTCTGATTCATACATGCTGAGTGATGAACGTGGGTGTCGACTTTTCGGACGTTGTAGAAATCTCTGTGCGGCACTTTCTTGGTATCGGCCGTCTCTTGGTATTCATTCAACAAGTAGTAAAGATTGAATTTGCCTTCAAGATATTGAAGCCGACGGAAAGCAAAGCTCTTGCTCGGTCCGTCGGAGGATATATCAAGGATGGAATCGAGATCGATGTAGAATTCGCGTAATGTAGGGATTGATACGATGGGCGTGTCCAGCTCAGCGGACTTGGCGGTCTCGTACACTTGGTAGACACCGCTGCTGTCCAGGCGGAACGACATCTCTCCGGGACCCGGTACGGGAAGACAGTCCTCCAGATGGAAGTCCTCGCCAATATTTGTTCCCATCTTGCGAGGTGGCTTGGCCGGTTCATTAGGCTCAAGGATTCCGCTGTTCTGCAAGCTGCTGCCGCCTGCGTTGCGACGCTGTTTGGAAGAGTCGTTCCATACTGGTTCAGGAGGGGTGGGGTAGATGCGCCAAGCTGGATCATCTTTGGGATTATCGAAGTTGCGCTGCAAAGACAAGCGGATGTACTTGTGACGTAAATCTAGCACTTTCTGGATATTCGTATAGATGGAGCTAAGCTCAGTGGTGATACTGGAATCGTTCATTGCGAAGCCTCCTGCTCCCGTGCCAACACCAATGCCTGCGCCCGCACCGTGGATGCCTTCTTCAGCCAGAAGTGGTTTTTCTTCGTGAGGGAGACCGGGGTGTTGCGCGTGAGATCGGGCTTGTTGGTCGGCTTGGAGAAAGGCGTCGCCTTCGTTGCCGGTACCTGCAGTGTTGGCTCCGTGTTGAGTCATGTGTCGGCGCGGATCCTGTGACTGCTCTGTGTGTGACAACCCGATGGGCAGGTTGGACCGATGCCCTTGATTCGCGAGCGTGACATTGCTCTTCCTAGAGCGAATGCTTTCTGCCTTGCCATGGAGGTCTACGCCGTCTGTGCCGCCAAAGTTGGCGGGGAATGTCTTTGCGCGCATGGCAGGACTATAGGTCTCTCCCGCCTGCGAACCTCCATACTGTGTCTCTAGCTGATGACGCTGGTAGAACTGTTTCGCTTCTGTGTGGCTCATCTGCTTCTCCGCAGTATAATCGTAGAAGGCGGTCCGTCGCTGCTTGTCGCGGGGCAGCATGCCATTGTCGTCCTCTTCCTCGTCGCTGGTACCAGCATTCTCCTGTGCGGTTGCAGTCGCACCGTTGTCTAGTCGTGTGCGCCCGCTACCGCCAGCTTCAGTTTCGGAGAAGTCATGGCTCAGCTCTTCCTCTTCCGACGAGGGTATCTGGTCGTCGTGGGCAGGGCCAAAGTCGGGCGACGCGTCCGCATCAGCAGAAAAGGCTCCTATTCCTCAGATCAGTCTCCGCTTGTATTTGTATGGAGGAATTGGTTTGCGCTACCTTTCAGCATGGTGCTATGGAGAGATGGTAGTTGTGGTTGCTAGAGCGAACACAAACTTTAAGACGAGCCTCACCAGGAACGCGCCTCGGAGGCGGCCGGCCTGTCGCCTGACCCCGTGCCATTTTGTGAATTATGGATTCGATGACTCCATAGCATACTTATCCTGGATACCCTTCCAGCAGGAGTACGTAACCATAGCGAGCAAGACTTCGAGGCTACAAGCAATCATGTTTCATTCGGGCAAGTTACCAGGCTAGCCCCTCCATCCTCGGCTTGTGATGTTATCGGCAGGGTCAAGGGACCTTTTCCGAGAGTCATTCGGGCCACCAACAACATTCACTTGCATGTGAGGCGCGCTATATGCACTCTGATGTTCCAACGCGTTTATTAAGATATTCCCAAGAACTGGAGTGGGCGAATAGTCGGGATCATTCCCTCACCGGGCACAGGATTGCCCCTCATGAATACCCCACAAAGTCACCAATCAACCAGTCCTAGGATGGATATCTTGGCGAAGGATGTCCAACGTTGAATGCAACGACCTGTATTATGCGGGAGAGGAATCGGCAAACAGTCATATTCTTGCTGTCCGAATTGTGCAATACGTCACCAACAAGTGCAATACATGTCGAGAGCGTCCAGGGCTTGAGAACGCCGCTCACGTGCTAGGAGCTTAGCGCGGATCAATGATCCATGCCCAAAAATTTACGGTATTCCGACTTTTAGCAACGCATCCACATTTGCCAACTTCACCCATATCGCCAAAATGTAAGAATCGCCTCGTCTGCAATTGGAATCGTGATACTGATATGGCCATGCAGGTTTCTCCTCCGCCGCACTGCCGTTCGCGCTATCACCGCGTCGCCTTCCAAGGCGTTCCTTGCGAAGCCGCGATCCATCAACACCATAACCCCCTCGGCCTTCCGTCTGAGGCAACAACAATGGTCAATCTCGTCCTTCCAGCGACGATTCGCTAGCGATGAGGCCACCAAGGGGGACGAGAACTTTGCGCAGACAGCGGCTGAGGCACCTGTTGAAGAGAACCTGACGCCGGCGCAGCAGGAGGTGCAGGCCGAGCCTACTGACGCCTCTGCTACTGTTGGCGTGGATGCATTGGAGGCTGCTGCTGAGACCGCAGACAATGCCCAGAGGTCATCAAAGCCCAGGTCCCCGAGGAACACCACCCCGAACAACATGCTGTACATTGGCAACCTGTACTACGAGGTTTCCGCAGAGCAGCTGAAGCGTGTCTTCTCCAAGTTCGGTGAGCTTGAGAGCACCAAGATTGTCTACGACAACCGGGGTTTGAGCAGAGGGTATGTTAGATGGCCCAGTCTCGGAAAGCAAACACTAACCTTCGTGCAGTTTCGGATACGTTGAATTCAAGAATGTCGCGGACGCCCAAGCTGCCATTGACAACCTCGACATGCAGGTCTTCGAAGGCCGCAACCTCGTT